CCGGTTCGATGCCCCCCCCCCCTCGAAAACCGGGGGGGGTCACTTCCGGTTCGACTACCGCCCCCCCCACCTCCTCCTCGAAAACCGGGGGGGGTCACTACCGGTTCGAACCCCCTCCCCTCCCGCCCCCCCCCCTCGAAAACCGGGGGGTGTCCCACTGTGCTATCCCACCGTCCCCACTGTCCCCATCACTGTCCCACTGTCCTGTCCTCACCACCGCCTTCACCACTGTCCCCACCACTACCGTCCCCACCAGTGTCCCACTGTCCCCACCACTGTCCCGCTGTCCCCTCACCACTGTCTCCACTACCACCGTCCCCACCACTGTCCGCACCACTGTCCCACTGTCCCCGCATCGCTGTCCCCACCACCACCGTTCCCACCACTGTCCCAACATCCCCACCATTCTCCAACTGTCCCGAGGAGCGGGCATCGTTTGCCGGCGGCCAGGGGGGGGGAGGGGGGGGGGTTCGAACAGGTAGTGACACCCCCAGGTTTTCGAGAGCGGGGGGGGGGTTCGAACCGGTAGCGACCCCCCCCGGTTTTCGAGGGGGGGGGTTCGAACCGGTAGTGATCCCTCCCCCTTTTCATGATGGACTCGGGGGTGTGTGTGTTCGAACCGGTAGTGACCCCCCCGGTTTTCGAGGGGGGGGGGCGGGTTAGGACTCCCCAGTGACCCCCCCCGGTTTTCCGCCAGCAGCGGTAGAACACGCCCTTTCCAAGACAGCACTCCATCGCAAATCACGCGGCGTCCGCGCTCCCAGGGCCGCGAACCCCTGGTGAAGTGCACGGTTGTCACGCTCGCAAAGGAACGGTCCCTCGACAGTGACCGTGGACTCGCGCTCCCGGGGCAACGACCCCTCGGAGATTACGCAGGATTTGCGCTCTCGGGCCACGGTCCCTTGTACAGTACTACCACTGGGCTCGCGCACCGAGGGCCACGATCCCTCGTACAATGTCGCTGGGTTCACGCCTTCAGGGCCACGATCCCTTGTAAATTGCGCTGCGTCCGCGCCACCAGGGCCACGATCCCTTACCAATTACGCTGTGTCCGCGCCCCCAGGGGCAAGATCCCTTATAAATTACGCTGCGTCCGCCCCCCCAGGGCCAGGATCCTTGTACATTACGCTGCGTCCGCGCTCCCGGGGCCACATCCATGGTGAATTACGCTGCGGCCGCGCTCCCAAGGCCACCATCCCGTATAGATTATGCTGTGTTCGGGCTCCCAGAACCACCTGGGCATCCTTGGGTGCCCAGGTCGCTCAAGTTCTGCAACACAAGCGTTTTGCTGGATATATCCTCAGATATTCGGGGCGCGCCCTACTCGAGCGGGCACGCAACAAAAACACGGTTTCTCATTTTCTGCCAACTGCCGAAGCCTCCAGATCAAGTGTTTTATCGCGGCTTTTGCGCAAAACGCTCCGCCCGCTGTTTTCTGTCAGGGAAAGCGTGTGTCTGCGGACTCCGCTATTTATCGAAGATCCGAAATAAGAGGGCACATTTTCCTCGAGCGGTCACGCGCGAAACGCATTCTTTTACAAACAAGAATCAAACTTTACTTCGTCATTTACCGCAGATGATCCCGACGGCCCGCATCGAGTCTAAACAAGGGGTGAACACTGGCGCCCTTTCCGGGAACAATGCGACATGCACTTCGCGGTTAAATCGGCATCATGCGCGGCGGCCGCCCCGCGATCACTGTCCATTGGTGTTTGACAGAAACCGCGGGGGTGCTGGCATATTGCCTGCTGTGTGCAGGCCCACCAGACACCAGACGCCATGATGGCCTCCCTGCCGCGATTGCGCACTGGTTTTCGACAAGGACGGTGGGGGCCGACATATTTCCCGATGTGTGCTGTCACGTGCGCGGACGTGCCTGGCACACTCTGCGCGTGTCCCCGACGTGGCGCACCTGGCGCGGCTGGACCATGCGGTCCACATGGCGCACGTGGAACACGTGGCGCAGTTGGCGCGCGAGGCGCTCCTGGCACGCTTAGGCCTCAGGGGTGCCTGGCGCACCTGGAGAGCCTGGCACGCGTGGCGCACCTCGCCCCATCGCGCACATGGGGTTTGTGTTGGTTCCCAGTAGCTGCCCATCCATAGACGACCGCTGAACATGCTGAGGCCCGGGTGCTACTTGTGTGTTGGGAGGGCGGGCGGGAGTGAGCGAGACAGCTTGCTGGCGGGGAGGGTGTCTTGGCCTCTCCCCCCACCCCCTCCTCGTGGGTCTGGACAGGGCATTTCGCGAGACGTTGGAGCATCCAAGATGGCCTCGGCGAGATGGCCAAAGTCACTGATTCTACATACAAATGTTTTGGCAACGTATTGGCCTGTTGCGGGGTCGCCGCTCATGGAGGAGCTTCCCTCCTTGGATCGATCTCCTCCAAGATGGCCCCAAGATGGCCCCCGAGGCTCCCCAAGACGGCCCCGAAAGGTGTCCAGGAGACCCCAAGAGGCCTCCAAAATACCCCCAAGATACCTCCAAGAGGCTCGCAAAAGACCCCCAAGCGGCCCCACCCCGCGGAGGCGCCCACGACGCTCCAAGAGGCCTCGGCGAGAAGGCCAACCTCTTTGATTGTACTTCGGATGTTGGCCACATGTTGGCCTCCTACGAAGGGGACCCGACCCTAATTAAGGAAAGTCCCTCCTTTGTAGGGGACCGAATTCTATACACCGACGTTTTTTCCGGCCCTGCACTGAAACTCCCACAGGAAAGCGGATCCTGGTGCATACAGGATCCTGGTGTATACATGTTTCGCTGTTTCCCTGGGAAAGCGGGGTAAAACTATACACCACACCGCCCCAGCGTCGTCCCCGACCTTGCAAAATTTCGGGGATTGAAAAACAGCCCGCCACTGGTAATGTATATGCTCCAGTTCCCGACTTTGATCGATATCCTCCAAGACGGCCCGAGGATGGCCCCCGAGGCTCCGCGCCGGGTGCGCAGCAGCAAGATGCCCATGTCCTGGCCGCACGAAAAATACAAAAAAACGGAAAACGGTGAATTCGCCGCCAGTCAGCTCTGGCCAGGGGCTGGGGAGGTAAGGATCCGAACTCTACATATACGCCCGACGCCTTCCTCTGGCCTCGCATTGAATCTCGCACAGGGAAGCGGATCCTGGTGTATACGGGATCCTGGTGAATACATTCTTCGCTGTTTCGCAGAGGAAACGGGGAAACAAGTATACACCACACCACCCCGACGTCGTCCCCGACACTCAAACAAGTCCTGGGATTGATAAACCGCCCGCCACTGCAATGTATATGCTCCAATTTCCGGGGAGGTGTCCCCTCCGAGCAGAGGCCACGATCCTGTACCAGAGGCGGCGCCGGGGGGGAGGAGGAAAGCACAGGAGAAAAGTTCCTCGTACAGACTGAGGCCGGGACGGTGCGACCAACCGCACCACCGAAACCACCACCACCACGGAGGGAAGCGATCGGGGGGCGGAGGGGAGTCGCCGACGCGAGCCAGGTCGCCGCCACGTCGCAAGGGCCGCGTCCTCTTCACCCGTGCCGAAGCCGCCGAGGCTCCAAAAGGTGCCCCAAGACGGCCCCCAGAGGTGCCCAGGGGGCCCCAAGAGGCCTCCAACATGCCCCCAAGATGCCCCCAAGAGGCTCCCCAACAGGCCCCCAAGAGGCCCCACGAGGCCTCCCAGAGGTACCCAAGACGCCCCAAGAGGCCTCGGCGGGAAGACCCACATCATTGATTGTATTTCGGTTTGGGCCACATTTTGGCCTCCTGGGGGAGGGGGGGCCCTAATGTAGTACAGCCCTTCCTTTGATCGATCTCCTCCAAGATGGCCTCAAGATGTCCCCGAGGCTTCCAAGGGTGCCTCAAAACGGTGCTCAGGAGGCCCCAAGAGGCCCACAAGAGGCCCCCAAGGTGCCACCGAGCGGCTCCCAACAGTCCTTCAAGAGGCCCCCAACGGCCCCCCAGAGGCACCCAGGACGCCTCAAGAGGCCCCTGGGACTGCCATGAGACCCCCAATGCATCCCAAGAGAACTCCAAAAAGCTCTCGGAAGAAATCCGAAGAGACTCCAAGAGGCATCAACGAGGCTTCTGGCCTTTCTGGTCGCCCTCCTCCTCCTCGTCCTCATCCTCCTCGCCCTCGTCCGCCTATTCCTCCTCCTTCCTCCTTCCTATTCCCTCCTCCTCCTGCTCCTCCGACTCCTCCTCCACCCTCCCCCTCTTGGGGCAGGACGTCTTATCCAGCCATTTACTCCACTGCATACTCCTCCACATCCCTGATCAGGGCAACTCGTCTGGGCATCGTTTCTCGGTGGGCTGGTGGGGTTACGCGAAGCGTTGATACTACTAATCATTACTCGCAAGCGCCCCCCCGCGCTCAAACATTATCATTCCGGAATAAGGATATCAGATTCATCATTCCTGGAACATGATAACCCCAGTTTAGAGTGTGTCAGCAATAATGAACCAGGTCAATGTTCGAACATAATGTGCTCCAGGAGCCCGCGGATCAGGGGAAACATAACAATTACTAACATTCCGGCAAGATGAAACTGGATTCATTGTTTTGGGGTACCGAGGATGTTCCCCCCAGGACATCACCAACCCGGGATTCTAATGTTCCAATCTTTCTGGCTGGACGGCTGGGGCGGACCTCCCAGGGTCCAGTTCCGCGTATGTCATGGACGCCTGGAAACTTTTCGGTGGCCCCGCGGAAGCCCCGAATCCAGCAGTTGCGCCAAACGAGACGTGACAACGCTCTCACAGGAACTCACATAGTTTTAGGTCGGGCCTGTCCCCCCACAGGGGGATTTTGGACAAACAATGAACTCGAAAAATACTCCCAAACTGTTCAAACATAGTCGAAATATAATCCCAACATTTTTTTAACTATTTTTGAATATCCCTCCTGTAGAGGGACAGGCCCGACTTAAGCATAGGTCCACCCCGAAGATCCACGCTTCCCACCTGCATGATGGCCACCCGGCCACGCATCCACCCTGCCAGGGGGGTCAGCGGCAGAGGGCGGCGCCCTTCGGATGGAAACCGCCGTGGTGTTCTCGTTGCCCAGCTCGTACTTGTCCCAGATGGCCTGGATACTCTTCAGCTCCTTCGCGGCCTGCTCGGGGGAGAGCTCCCTCGCCTCCGCCTCGTCCGTGATGTTCAGGAGCTCTTCGTACAAATTGTTGCTCTCCTCCTCCGTGGCAGTCTCAATAGCGATTGCACCGGGCAGCCACTTCGCAAACTTCCTGTCGAGCCTCCTCTGCGGGGCGGGGATCTAGCCATCTCCATCGCCTGGGGAGCCGGTGCCCTGGCACCGCAGGGGGGCGGCGGATCTGGCTCTGCTCGGGCTCCACGGGGGCCCGAACAGGTCCATGTCCATCGCCAGCCGAGGAGGGCCGGGAAGATCGGTTCCCGGGGCGGTGGACATCTGGGGCAAGTCCCGGCCCCGGGTCCTCTGCTCCCGCCGGGAGCGGCGGCGGGGCGCCTGCTGGCACGCAAAGACGCGGGCACGGAAGAACAGGGGAGCAACGCCCAACAACAAACGCTGTCCAACCCCGACGGCGGCCGCTGCTGGGCGGGGCGACCGCTGGTCTCACGTGGGCACCGCCCGCAGCGACACCGACCTCGATTCCGGGCCAACACTGCGGGCCAACCATCGTAATTTGACTATAGCGAAGCTGGGCAGGGGTCCTCGTCGGCGCGGACTGCACGGTGCATCCAAGGCGCTCAAGTCTTACCGAAGAGCATGCCCGTGGGCCGTGGCATCACAGCAGGTCGCCTCGCATCTCATGACGCCCCCAGAAGACGAACGGTTACTCTTACTATGGTTGGCCCTGGTGTGAAGGTCTTCGCCCCCTTTCTGTCCGTGCCCATGTCGCTCGTGCCGAGCCTTGTGCCGGCGCCTCCCCTCCTTCCTGCCTGGCTTGGCGGCCTCGGGCGCGGGGCGCCGTGCACCGAGCTCGCCCGAGGCGCGCGAGAGCTCGACGCGGCGGGGGACGACGTCCTCCTCCTCGGGCTCCTCGGGGTCGCTTTCTTCCTGCTGACTCGCCGCCCCCTCCTGGGGGGGGCAGCGACAAGGATGGGGTGGGGGCCAGCGGGGGGGGAGGAGAAACATCGAGCCGGAATCGGCCATACGTCGCCGATGGATCGGCGGCACGGCCACCATGGCAGAACCCCCTCCCCTCCCGCTCCTGGGTGACGGGCCGTCGGGCCCCTGGCGGCGAGTGGGGGCCGTTGCGGCCCGCGCCCCCCCCCCCCCCCTGAGCCTGGGCCCCCCTGGCGTTGCCCCCTTGCTCCTCCTCGAGGCCCACGGAGGCCCTGATCGCCTCGTCCAGCCACCTCCTCATGACCAGGGCCTCGTCCAGGGCGGGCGCGCGGCCCGAAAGCGCAACCGCGAGCTCGGCAACCTGGTCAAGCTTGTCGGCGTCGACCGCCTCCAGGCGGCCCCGGAGCCTGTCGGCCGCGGCAAGGTCGACCGAAAGACCTTGCGTCAGGCCCTGCAGGGCGACGGCCGCGGCCGCAGCCAGGCGCCATGCGAGCGGAGGGGCCATCACGCAATCGGGGGATGCATCAAAGCAGTATCAGACGTGTGCGGTACCCAACGAAGCCTGAGCCAGAGAGGACCATGATGGTGGTGGTAGTGGTTGCGAGGGTGGTGGGGATCGTAAGGAGGAAAACCCGCACCGAGGTGTCTC